CAACGATTGTTCATAGTCATCGTATCTTAGGAAACAATCGTTATAACGCTCCTAGCACCTTAGGAGACAACGAATACGTTATAAGGACATTGTGCATAACACAAGCTTTGGCTAATCTGTTCATCTCTTTTCTGTTTTTTCATTGGTTGTTTTAATTAATTTTAATTAAACTAATTTTCTTTGTTTTTCGAGAACACGCCCAACAAGATTTGCTTTAAGTGAAATTCAATGTGCATTAGATGAAACTTTAATGTGCATTAGATGAAATTGAAATGTGCAGCACAAAGGGTACGATAGAGTGACAATATGTGAAGCTGAATTGTGCATTAGGTGAAATTGAAATGTGCACTAGATGAAACTGAAATGTGCAGAAAAAAAGGTACGATGTGATGTTATTTTTGTACCTTTTATTCCGCGCATTTTAGTTTCACCTAGTGTACACTTGAGTTTAAATTTTTATTTTGCACATTTCAATATCATCTAATGCACACTTCATTTTCAACAATACATATTTCAGTTCCACATAATACAATCCAACGGTCCAAATTCATTCTTATTTCTCTCCTGGGAGTCCGTTTTTACCAAACCCGCTCTATACACACACACACACACAGACGGGTCAGCCAGCTTCCCAATAAGGTTAAACAAGGTTATTATGCGGATCTTTTCGGTATTCCTAATTTACGACTCTAATTTGCTTATTTTTACATGTACTTTATTTAAGGTTTGGTTTGGTCCCCCTTAAATGTTTTTTATTCTAGAGAGGTATTGGTTTGGTCCCCCTCTCTCATGTAATATTTCAAATTTTAATAAAAACTCGGCAAATGTCCCCCGACATTTGCCCTACTGATTTTGGTGGTTTGCCTTCCGGGGTAACACACACACACACACACACACATATATATACTACCTCCGTTCTCTTTTAATTGCAACATTGGACTTTTTACACTATTCACATATTCCACTTTGACTATATATATTTTATTTATTAATGTATTATAAATCAAATTTTTGAAAAATATCGTTAAATTCTTCTCATTCTAAATTTTCAAAATATGAATTTTTTTAAATTTTTTTACTAATAAGGAATGAAAGATATTAATGGTCAAACTTGTGCTTTGGCAAACGTGAAATGTTGACTGTTGCAACTAAAAGAGAACGGGGGAAGTATATATATATATATATATATATATATATATATATATATATATATATATATATATATATATTATAGATACATAAATCGCTAAACTAGGCGCGATCTGCGTACCGATCGCTGCGTACCCAATCGCGGTACGAAAGTGATCCGGTCGCACCATGGAACGCTCTACGGTACGCTGTGCCAGTCGATCCCAATCGCATCTGGAAGAGAGCGCAATCGCCGTCTGATGCGACCTCAGTCGTCTTCAAACGCGATCGGAAACTCAACGCAGGTCGTTCCGTGGATTGTTCCCCATCAATCGCAATTTGAAAAAAAACGTCGTTTGACTCGTTTGAGACGCCCAAGTTTGAGTATTAATACGCTTCGTTTCAGACGCCTGTAGTAATAGGCGTACCGATTTCCAACCAGCTCTTTTTTTTTAAAGACAGCTCTTCGTTTTTTTTTTTGAAAGACAGCTCTTCGTTTTTTTGAAAGACAACTCTTCGTTTTCTGATCCTAATTATTCCTACTCATCAATTTTACATTTTAATTAACTGTTATAAATTGAGGGAAGATGCTCTATTTTTGTTCAATGTTGAAATCTGTAATCTGTATTCTTTTTTTTGTTTGACAAAGTAATCTGTATTCTATAATTCAGTTTTATATTTTTATTATAGTACCAAAATATTAGGTAGGGCGTACCGAACATATGGTACATCGTATCGAACGCGTACCGAAATGAACCTACCCCCCTCCGAATCGGATACGCTAGATCTAGCGAACAACGTTCCCGTTCCCGTATCGAACCGTACCGCGAACCATGTGACTATGATATATATATATATATATATATATATATATATATATATATATATATATATATATATATAGAGTGCTCTTCTCATCAGGCCGGCCTGACGGGCTGCCCCGTCCGGCCGAGCCCGTTTGGGCACCTTCCCGATGGAATTTTTTGATGAAATTTTTTGAGCATGTTCCTTATCAAGTCTAGTTTGTCCATACCAAATTTCAGCTCAAAATTCGATCGGGAAGGTCGTCAAATGATTTTTGCAAGTTAACTGGTCCGGAATATACATATTCCGGACCAGTTAACTTGCAAAAATCATTTGACGACCTTCCCGATGGAAGTTTGAGCTGAAATTTGGTATGGACAAACTAGACTTGATGAGGAACATGCTCAAAAAATTTCATCAAAAAATTCCACCGGGAAGTGCCCGAAATGCCCTCGGCCGGACGGAGCATCCCGTCAGGCCGGCTGGACAAGAACGGCACTCTATATATATATATATATATATATATATATATATATATATATATATATATATATATATATATATATACACACACAGGATTATTCCTGTCCGGAATTTCCGGACAAGAGCCCCGTCCGGCCTCCTCCATTTGGAGGCATTCCCGGTGGTATTTTTTGCTCAATTTGTTTGTGTATGTTCCTCATCAAGTCTAGTTCATCCATACCAAATTTCAGCAAAAAATTCAATCGAGAAGGTCGTCAAATGATTTTTGCAAGTTAACTGGTCCGGAATATGTATTTTCCGGACCAGTTAACTTGCAAAAATCATTTGACAACCTTACCGATTGAATATTTTGCTGAAATTTGGTATGGATGAACTAGACTTGATGAGGAACATACAAAAAATATTTGAGCAAAAAATACCACCAGGAAGGCCTCCAAAAGGAGGAGGCCGGACGGCGCTCCGGTCAGAAAATTCCTGACCGGAAGATTACTCAATATATATATATATATATATATATATATATATATATATATATATATATATAGAGAGAGAGAGAGAGAGAGAGAGAGAGACCAAGCATTCCAGCCCAGCTGGTTGTGAGGTTACCGTGCCTAGTGAGAGGTCTCGAGTTCGAAACCCCCGTTAGGCACTATTAGATATACTCTAAATAGACTATCTTGTAATACTTTAGCTATTAATAGAGTCTCGGTTTAGTCAGTTGAGTTTGTTAATGACTTAACCAACTCTATATATATTTGTACTGCTGCTTCAACATTTGACATAATACAATTCTCATTTCTCTCAATCTCTCTCTCTCTCTTATCTTTCTAATATGGTATCAGAGCTTTAGCTCGATCCATCCATGGCTATTCCCGATGATTCCTCTCATACCTCTAGCGGAAATTCTGGAAATTCCAGTTTTCCGGTTACCTTTGCACATCCTCTTCCGATCAAGCTAGACAGAAATAACTTTCTATTCTGGAAACATCATGTTGAATCTGTAGTTCGAGCACACAAATTACTTCGTTTCATTGTGAAACCTAATATTCCGAAGCAGTTCAACAATGAGGGGGAGGGCATGCTGTACAGGTTCTTCTTCCCCGGAAGCAGATGACGAGACTGTTCCTAATCCACCCATATATATTTCGGGATAGAGGGGGAGGGCACGCTGTACAGGTTCTTCTTCCCCGGAAACGGCGGAGTGGACGACGATCCGCGGAGGAATCTGACAGTGGAACAGAGGATCGGATCGCGCAGAAGGTGTTGTTCGGCGGGGGATGACGCTCTGCTGGCCAGGGCCAAGGCATTGAAGAGCGTGTGGTAATCCGCTGGTCACTTTCTTGATATATCTTGATCAGAGTTGCTCATTTCACATTTTAAGTGATTGAGTATTCAATATCTTTGAATATTTATGTCAATATCTAAAGTGCAATCGTATAGGATTTTGCAAAATTGGAACTTCAAGCCTTCAAGGTTGAGAAATGGTATTATTCTTGTCATATTATTGAAAAACGTATTATACTTAAATAACTTAATGTTAGCTATAAAAATAATTGTTGTCTTTCAAAAAATTGTTGTTGTGGTTGAATAAACAAATAACTCAACAAATGAAAGAATCTGTGTTTAACAAACCAGACCGGACCGGACAGGTTGGCCTGGAAACCTTACCCAGTCCAATTAGACATTGACCCACAAACAATGGTAAAACCTTTTACCGGATAAAACATTGGGACCCGTTCAGACATGGGTACAACTTGGACCCATACGAACACAGGAACTCGGCTGAAACCGATAGTTTACCCGGTTCAAAACAACTACGCTGCAGGGAATCAAACTCGGATGTGCCGAGAAAGAGCGTTTGTAATTATAAATTAAACTTTTATCACGCGCAATCATATTAGTTGATCAAGCAATACTATTTGAAACATACATTCATAGTTATATACGTAGTATATTCTACCTTCAAAATATTGTCCGCACCAAGTTTGACCAATCTATTCGTAATTAGAACTTCTTATATACATTGATGCTTAATTTTTATCCGTGCATCGCACAGGTGAGAATCTAGTTTGAGTAAAAGGACGTTTGTACTTAGACTGAAATTTTGTGGTCAAGTCTGGTCTGGGACTGTTCCAAGTAAAAACATCCAAAATGCCACTAGCATAACTACTGCTCTAAGCTTTTAACTTAATTGTTTTAAAATTTCTTGAAGACTATAGTAGAGTCAAACCAAGTAAAAAATCCACTATAAGTCAAACTAGTATCGGTGAAGGAGAAATTCAATGGGCAGAAAATAAAAAGGAGGAGTGCGTAATTTTGAAGGAAGCACAATGTTTAGAAAGTGCTATATTTAGAGGGAGAACCTTAGGGTGTCTATAATTTAGAAGAGGTATTTTTAGTTAATCAAAAGAACTGATTAGGTTTAAATTAGTAAGCCTGCGTCCGCAATTAATGCTGCAGTAAAACTCATATATTTTGTATCCAGAAAAGAAGTCATTTGATTTGTATCCACTGGACGATGATAAGCATGAAGTTGATTTTACATAATGAGAGTAAAGTTTAAGAGAAAGGCCAATGAACCTAACCTGGTGTTGGGAGATGGACAGAAGGTAATTACATAATCTGGCGCGCCGGAACAGGTGAAGGTGCTGGTCCTATCGTCGTACGCGTAACTGTACGCGCTCGGGCAAGCCCCTTTGAACATCATCGAGTAACTCGACGGCTTGCAAGCGTCGGGTGTGCCGAACGCGCCGCTGCAACAGTACTCCGGGTCGCCGAAAGCCTCACACGCGCTCTTACACGCCACCATATCTCCCTCCGAGCTCGTCACCTTCAGCGCCGACGGGCAGAGTCCGTTCACGTCCACCCGGCATCCCGTCGCCGAGCAGTTCGCCCCAGATCCGCCCTGCGGGACCACCAGCATCGGCAGGTTGTAGCCGTCCACTAGGCTCACGTCATAGAAGTCCATCCCTCCGCTCCCATCCAGGGTGAACTCCGCCAGCGTAGCCGGGGGGGCGGCGTTTCCGCCGGCGCATTCCTCCTTCCCCGACCCGCAATCGCCTGTGACGCAGCTGAATTGCCCGGCGGAATCTTCGGTGCATTGGGTCCTACCCCATAACCGACCTCCCCAGCTCGACGGAGCACTGATCGTCTTCGATTCGCCCCTCTCCAACGAAAACCCGGTGATATCCAGCGGTGCAACACCGGCGTTCGACAAAATGCCCGGCCAAATCGTTTGTTCGCACTTGTTCGTGAACATCAATTTCGTCGATGAGTACACTCCTGTAGTCAATCAATCAAACATTTATTAAAATCACAAACCTATTCAATCAAACCTTTGGCCGATGATCTTCACCTGCTAAAAACAGATCTTGGGAAGCAAGAAGCAGCGCAACAAGGAAGAATCGCATTTGTGACATTCTGACAGAGCTAGTTGTCCGTAGTAGAAATCCGCAAAAGTAACCTCCTGTTTCTTTAAGTGGTGGAAGCTCTTCTATTTTTTGTTTGGAAAAATTGTCTACTCACGTGCTATGTCAAAAAAGTTAATTAAGCTCTCCAATTAAAGAAACAATTCATTAAACCCCCAACTATACAAAAACAATCAAATTCAAAATCCAGAAGGTAAAAGTCCGGTTATTCGGTTATGTTGCTGATGTGGCACTTTACTTTTTTTTTAATTTCTTTTCCTTTTTCTCGTTCTTTTTTTCCTCTTTCCCTTCTTTTCTTCCGCCTCACCACCTTTTCTTCTCCTTCTTTGTTTCGCCCAATCCTCCTGTATGTAGGAACCCCTTCTTCTTCTTGGATTTTTTCTTTCCTTCTCACATTTCTCTTCACTCTTCTTCCCACCTTAACGTCTTTCCGCCTTCTTCATCAATCTGCCACATTCTGCTTCAAGTGAAAAACTCCGGCGAAGAGGGCGGCTTGGGCAGCAGAGAATCAGATATCTTCACCTTCTGTTGCGACGTTATTGGTGCTGGTCTTCGTTGGCGGAGACAAGAATTAGTTCGGGAAGGCTGCAGACGATGGCGAGGATGGCGGCTTGGCCGACGAGCCAAAGAATTCGGCGTACGTCTGCTAAAACTCTGGCGAGGATGGCAGCTTGGCTGAAGAGCTTTGAATTCCGGCGTACATCTTGAAAACCTTCTGACAGTATAGCGTCTTGGGCCGAGGAGCTCTAAATTCAAGAGAATGTTACGCCGCAATGCTTGATCGAGGACGGCGCGCGGTTGACTGACGTGTTCGAAATCCGGGGTACGGATTCTACATCTCCGGCACATTGTCCGCTTGGCCAACGACGTTGCAGACTTAGAAAAAAGGACTAAGAGAAAACAAAGGATAAAAAGAAGAAGGAAGAAGCTAAGAAATAAGCCGGGAAGAAAACGGCGGAAGAAGAATGGCTATAGGTAACAGGAGGGAAAAGAAAATGAAAATGAAAAACAAAAAGAAAATGGAAAAATTAGTCTTGGATAGCCACGTCACTTCAGTGACCGGGTAACCGGAAGTTTTTTTTCTTAAATTTTGAATTTGATTGTTTTTCTAAAGTTGGTGGGTTTAATTGAGTGTTTTTTTAGTTCGAGGACTTAATTGACTTTTTCGGTATAGTTCGAGGGCCTATTTGATAGTTTTCCCTTTTTCTTTCCCAAAAATTGGTCAATTTGACTTTTTTGAGCAATGGTATTAAAATTTAAACATCGATTTTAGATATTATATTTTTCTTGGCAATAGGCAACTTAATTATTATTAAAAGAGATCAAACACAGATACAAATTCGCCATATCAAAAGCTACACTGGGATGAGACTAAGAGCTGGAGTCATGCTTAAAAGCGGTCCAACTCGCTAACCCCACAATATGGTAGACTTCATTAACACCTAAGTTGCACCTGCTACTTGATGGGAAAGCATGCAGTGTAAAATAGTTCTGAGAGACTAAAGAAAAAGAGAAACGAAATATCCAGTTATTCCAGCCACTAGCAAGGAGATAGCGGTTTAACCAGCATCCGCCAAAGGATTCTTTCGTAAGCCACAAAAGTCACTGATTACTGGCGGTGCTTTCTAGAAATGTTTGTGATTGCTTCAACTTTAAAAAGTGAATTTTTAAAGTGATTTCGGAGAAAGTGATTAAAAGTAAAAGTTGATAGTGTTTGTAAATAGAAGTGATTTTAATTAAAACACAAAAAGTTGAAGTGTTTGGTAAAAAAGTGATTATTGATGTAGTATATAGTCAAAATTCAAATACACCCTTTCCAAATTAAATAAAAAATTCAAATAAAAAATTAATGGAAGAAAGAAAGTTGTGTGTCCCTCCTCTTTCTCGTCCAATCCATCTGAGCGTCTTCCGAGCAAGAAAACTGCTCCCAGAGAAGAAGTCCGAATATTAAACAAAAAAGGTGAATTTGGAATTAGTTTTTTTTTTAATTTCTACAATACCACTGAAGACCAGAGAGCTGGTTTGGGTTCATGGAATATAAGGGATGCATAACTTGGAGATCAGAGAGGTGCGCAGCTTGAATAATTTGCTATATACTAGCGTATTGTATTGTAGTAGTATTCTATGCACCCGGATAAGGCACCAAGGTCGGACAGATTAGATCCGGCATTTTTCCAACACGGCTGGGAAATTGTGGGAGATGATGTGGTTAAATTCTCCCAGACCATCTGGACAACAGGGGAGGTCCCAACTGAGGTAAATAAAACTAATGTTGTTTTGATCCCTAAGAAAGATAGACCTGAGGGAATGGGGGCTGGAGACCTATAGCGCTGTGCAATGTGATTTTTATAATTTTTAGCAAGGTGCTGACTATTAGATTAAAATTTATTCTCAATGATCTGGTTGCCACGAACCAAAGTGCTTTTGTCCTGGGCAGGTCTATAATTGATAATGTTGATTGCATTGAGTCTTTACACTGTTTAAAACGAAAGACTCGGGGGAAAGATGACTACGTTGCCATAAAGTTAAATATGAGCAAAGCCTATGACAGGGTTTAATGGAGCTATTTAGAGGAATTGATGCGAGCTATGAAATTTGGTGAGAAATGGATAAATCTGGTAATGGAATGCACCCCAATGGTGGAATATTTCATCCCTTTTGATGATGGTGTGATTGGGCCAGTGATTCCTAGCAGAGGCCTGAGACAAAGGGACCCGTTATCACCATATTTATTTATTTTGGTGGCTGAAGGGCTTAGCGCGTTGATACGGAGACACGAAAGGGAAGGAAACATTCTGGGAATAATGGTGGCACGAGGGGGGTACCAAAGGTATCACACTTATTTTTTTTGCTGATGATAGTTACTTATTCTTCGGAGCCAAGTAAAGTGAGTGCATTACGATTCAGAACATTCTACGGGCTTATGAGAGATGTTCGGGGCAGAAGGTGAATTATAAAAAATCATCAGTGATGTGTAGCTCAAACTAAGAGCCTTAGAGGAGCAAAGGAGGATAGGAGTTTGTGACTTGCTAGGGGTGGGAACGGCAGAAAATAAAGCTAGTTATTTGGGGCTCCCTTCTCTGATTGGACGGGATAAAAAAGAAATCCTCAGTTATCTCAAGGAGTGTATTGTCCGCCGTATTCGAAACTGGAATAACAGAATTCTATTAAAGGCAGAGCGCGAAATCATGTTAAAAACAGTTATACGGGTTATGCCTACTTATGCAATGAATGTATTTTTACTGTCGAAAGAGTTGTGCTCTCAGATAGAAATCATCATGAATGATTACTGGTGGAGGAGGACGAGAGAGAACAAGAAAGGAATCATTTGGAAAAATTGACAGAGTATGCGCGCCTAAATAAAAGGGAGGAATGGGATATCAATTTTTAAGGGATTTTAATATCGCTATGCTTGGCAAGCAGGCGTGGAGGATAATAAAAAAACTTGAGTCCCTTGTGGCGAGAATTGTTAAGGCCAAATATTTCCCTAATTCATCTTTTGTGCAGGCTAAGTTGGGAAATAATCCCTCTTTTATTTGGAGTAACATTTTGGAGGCTCAGGAATTAATTGATAAGGGGCTGCGACGAAAGGTGGGAAATGGGCAAACAATACCTGTGTGGCGGGAGAGGTGACTGCCTGGAGAGGGATCTGGGCGAATACGGTCAGCGCCACCGCATGGGATCACATGCATGAATGTGGCGGCCCTAATCAATGCGACAGGGGACCAGTGGAACCTTGAGAGAATAAAACTGGTTTTTTCAGAAGAAGACAAAAATGCAATTCTATCGATACCGATCGGTAATCGGAATGTTTTTGGTTGGCTGTACCGGAATGGAGGTAACAGGGGTATCTACACGGTGAAAAGTGGTTATAGGCTTCTCAGGGAGAGTGTGCGCCGAGGGGTTGGACGGGATGGACTGGATCACTGGAATGTGGAATCTACATATTCCCCCAAAAATGAAGTGTTTTGTCTGGCGGCTAATGTCGGGAGTTTTACCGTTGACGAGTAATCCGTGCAAAAGGAGAGTGGATGTGGGTTTAACATGCAAGCTCTGCGAGGAGGCTGATGAAACTGAGGACCATTTGTTTCGGCAATGTAGGGTGGCGTAGACAGTGTGACAAAAATTGGGAACCCGATTCATCATACATGGCGGAGATTTTACTAACTGGGTTAAAAACTTTTTTGAAAATTTGCAAGGTGAGGATTTATGCTACTTCATTGCTACTTTATGGAGTCTGTGGAAGATTCTGAATGAAAAAGTTTGGAAGGATAAGGAGGGAAACTAGCAACAATGTTTAGAGATTGGATCGGCAACTCTCAGAGGTTGGCAGGAATCTGAAAAGGCGGGAAGTAGACTGAGTAAAGAAAAGAGACATGTGTGCTGGAAGAAGCTAGGATTGGGAAGGATCAAGGTTAATGTTGATGCGGCACTTGACCTGACAAGGAACAGGCGAACCTGGGCATGGATGGTAAGGGAAGAGCATGGGAACTTTATGAAGGGAGGATGGCAGACGAAGGAAACCAACTGGACGGCAGAGATAACGAAGGCCATGGAAGTGCGGGAGGCCGTACGGAGGCCGTACGATGGGTTCAAGCGCAAGGCTGGCAGAATGTTGACGTGGAAACGGATTCCCTACTTTGCTTTGATGCTTATGTGGTAGCTCATAAGCTTGCTCAGGCTACCCTTTCTATGTCAAATGATTATTATTTGATATGTAGTCCGCCTGATTGTATTGTCAGTCAGTTGAACAGTGAAAGTTTGAATTAATGAAAGTGAAGTTTTTATTCAAAAAAAGAAAGAAAAATATCAAGGAGTCAAAAAGAAAAAATGAAACATGAGACTTTTTTTGACAAATTTGTGAAAAATGTGATTATTTATATGCGTAGTAATACGGAGTATTCTCTAAGAAAATGCAAAAAACTACTATAACAGGTCATCAATTTATGAGTGACTAGCGAAAGAAAATGAGTGCAATGTTGAATTATTTTGATATTACGTAAATTTGATAGTATTATAAGAATAACGGTGAAAGGTGAGATTATTATTGTAATTTTTCCTAAAAACAAAAGAGAATTTAAACTTGTTGTGAGAAAAATGAAAAAAGAAATACTCGTATATGA